TCATGACTAATTACATTGTTAGTCACTGATGCAGGCTGTGTGTTCTGCCCCGGTCTCCCTTTATTCTTCGGTGAGGGTATGGGGGCCGTTGAGGGCTTTATTGGCAGCGTTGTACTCGTCTTTGTTGGAGACGCCGCTTTGAAACAGCAAGAGGTATGATGTTTCCCTTGACAATTGAAACACACTCGCCCTTTGCACTCAGAGGTGAGGTGTAGTGGGGACGCGCAAATGAAGCACAGTTTGTGTTCTCTCAGGTATTTCGCTCTGTCCTGAGGAGTGTCGTACTTAGTGCATGCTCTTGATTTGTGGTCAGCTCCACAGTACATGCACAAGTAACTCGGAGTGTTACCCACGCGTTGAAACTGTCCTTTGTGGTTTCTCTCCTTCTTAGGTTCCACTAGAGGAGGCGTGAGGGTTTTGGAGGTATACAGCTCAATCTGTTCTTCGCTGTTGATGATATCCTCCAAATTTTTGAGAAGAGTGTACATGTGAAAGGATCCCTCCATGGAATACTTCCTTTCCAAGACTCTTCTTTGCAGACTAACTGAAAATTTTGACAAAACTTGCTTCAAAAGCCAGTGACTATCTACTTGTTCCCCTTTGTTCTGAAGCTGCGATACTATGACTTGGACTTGCTCCAGAAGGACGCGTTGATCCTTGATAGACGATGAACGCGACGTGATTTTTTCCAAGCGGTCAATTAAGCGACTGACGAGCTCCTCTGAGTTCCCATATTTCTCTTTCAGGAACTCTACCGCTTTGTTGTAGTTCTCCTCATTTATTTGAAACTTCTTAACTGCAGCAAGTGCCTCCCCTCTCAACGCGTTGAGAAGGTAATTGAACTTGAAGAGCGCTGGTATCGGTTGAAAGTGAACATTGTCGGAGAACAGAGTCCAGAAATTGTCCCAATCCCATATATTTCCGGCGAATATTGGGACGGGTAACGTGGGTAAGTCGATTCGTTTAGTTCCCAGCGAGTAGTCCTGCGAAGTCCTATCTTCAACACTCGATCGTTGTACCTCTTGAATGGCTCCTATATTTGCCTTGAACGCGCGCAACCTCGCTTCCAATATGACTGTATAGTCGAGTGCTGCACTGAGGACTCCGTCGGCTCGATTGGAATACGTCTCGTAGTCGTCGGATTCCGATTTGGGCGGACTATTCAATTGACTTAACGCGTTTCCATACTCTTGCCAAGTTTGTTCGATCTTTGAAGTGCATGCCTCGATTGCTCCAAGTCCTTCATGGATTTTTTTCTGGCATTCCCTTTCATACCCTGGAGTGCGGTCACTATCCGAAACCTTCAGGGTCTCTAATTTCTCCTCTTCGAAACGCGAGAGTACCGTATCTAGCTTATAGCAAAGCCCGGTTATTCTGCATTTATAAGAAGAGAGTTGTGTAGTCATCATTGCGCTGATTTTGAGCTGTTATTTCTTTCAACGCGATGAAAAGTCAAGTTTAGGACAAGAGTTGTTCACGCGATCAGTATTTTATTAGGACAGAATAAAGTGGAATTGTTCAATAGCTCCACCCAGTGGATGCTGACTTCAACGCTTCCCCTAAGCTAATCCGACTCAAACCCTGAGTCAATAATTGTATCCTATGCGGTTCGACGCGCTCAAATCAATCTTTCTACTTCAGTAAATTCACCTCACTTTAGTAGAAATTAATAGATTACGCGTTTGATGGCTCGACTTTGGTGAATTGAATTTGGTGATTCAATCAAAATTCCTCCAAGTAGGTTCAGTTGAACGCGAACAATAACCTTTTTAGAAACTCAAGTTATGACGCGCAATAACTTCACCCTATTGGGTTCGAATTGAATACGCGATCGAAACTAACTTCAATGACTTGAATTTTATAACCCGATTTATAAACTCACAGTGGGTTCAAATTGGATTGAGTACGCGTTCTAAAAATAACTTAGTGAATTCAGTTCGATGACTCAACCACTGGCTTTACTTTGTGGGTATAAATCGAGTACGCGTTTGAAACTCACTTCAACAATTTGAATTTATTAACTCGGTCAATAAATTCACTTAAGAGAGTTCAAATGGTTGACGCGTGAGAAAGTCTCACCTAAGAGAGTTCAAATTGTTGACACGTGCGAAAGTCCCACTTGAGTGAATTGAATCTGATCACCAGATCAATAGATTCCCTTGATGGGTTCAAATCGATTACGCGAAGTATCCACTTGAATGTCCCAACCAATAATCACGCGAACCTAACGTTATTGACAGCTTTGAAATTCACTATTACCAATGAGCTGACAAAACCTTGCAGTGAGTTTTCTTAAATATGAATTCTTGAAAACTCTCCTTTTACTTTGGTCCGGTAGATTCCAAATAAGTCGATGCACCAATGAAGGATGAGGTTCGTGTATACGCGAAATGTGAGATGCCTGCCACGCGAATAGTTTTCTTACGCGATCAATACGCGAACTATCCTTAAACGGACACTATTATTAGGAAATTTTATCCAAAATAACAGCGTTAGTAAGAATAAAGGTCAGTACTTGAAGCAAAATGAAAACGATATCTTCGCGTTCCCACTCTTCGCTTATATATGGCCATTTCGCGCGCGATCGATCGCTTGATCTGCCTGCGCGGGATAGTAGGACGATTTGTCGTCATGGTATAACAGTATCTAACAAGAAAGATGAGAACATTAACAACTCTTAATAGAATGATGAGATGCATTATATTTCCTTTTAAGTATTTGTGAGTCCACAACACTGGGGCGAGGCGAAGCCTAGCGGCAGCTAGAAAGTTAGCCAACAGAATAACATGACAAAAACTTCACAGAAATGAGCATATTTGTGAATACATTAAAAGAGTGTTCTCGTGACTAGTAGAATTGTCTGTGTCGATAGTTGTTCACTTAGTCCGCGTAGAATTTGAGATTGCGAAGACTGTTCCGACCACGACGACGCTGATTGCCATAAAAGCTAGTAGTGCTGGCTTCAAGTGGTTTTACACGGCTGGAGTTCTTGCTTGCAGATTTTGGTGAATCCGAGAACATATTAGCCGACTCTTCTTCATTGGCTACTTCGGAATCTGCAGTTGCTGTCGAAGTATTCATGCCGGTGGTAATGGCTGTAGTGTCTTGCTTTGCTTCTACCATCTGAACTGATAACGAATTTTGCACGGAGAAGCTCAATGAGTTGTAAACCGTATTTCGTTGTTTCCTGGTATCTTCCACTTCCCTTGCATCTTTTCTGCGCATTTTTCTTGATCGTCGACGTTTCAGGCGTTTACAGCGGAGAGCTGGGTCACAGAAGTCCAAACTTGTGTATGCCGATGTTTCCATTCTTCGTAACGGTATAGGATTCCTCTCCTGCTTTTCAACTCTACCGACGTTCATGTTATCTACCTTAGCTCCAATTATGAGGAGCTGTTGCGGTTGGTCTTTCTGATGGTTTTCATTCTGCCTTTCGTTTCTTGTAGAGCGATAACGTCGTACCTGATTAGTCGGCCCCTCAATAAAAGTCTCCGGAGATCAGCTTCTGATGCTGTGGTGCGGCAATTATACGAGCGTACGAAGAGGCGTCCTCATGTCGTGGTATGAGAGAGTTTCCAATGTTTCGATTCCGATGACGTCCTGGTTCCCTTGCGAGATTAGATAGCCTTTCACCAGTAGAGGCTTTCCCCGACGCCGTAGGGGAGCATTCTGGTGTGCGCAGGACTGGGGCACATTTAGCTGCTTGAGCAGTTTGTTTGGTTGCTCCATTGTTTGTTTACTCCTTTGTTCCTTGCTAGGGATACAAAAGAGTCACCCATACACATACAGTGATGGTAGCCGTTTATACCGTTGGCCACCATATAGTGGCGTGCACCCACCGCGGTGAGATGGTACATGGTAGGGTTCCAAGTTACAAAAATATGCACAAGAATATCTCCGAACACACAGCTTTCAAAAGTAGCTAAGCAAGAGGAAAATGGAGGAAAATAGAAAAATGCATACAGTGCGCACCAGAACTATGTGGGCACCCTAAACTCGATTCTCAGGGTTCAGCTAACGACGTTATCTGCCATGGAAGCTCCACCATTCAACTCCTCGTGATCGATAACTACAGTTACAATTTGGACAAAAGATTTCCTTCTAATTCAGCAAACAATTTTTGATAGGATTTTTTTGTTTGTATCAAAAGTATGTGGACACCCTAGACAGATCAACTTTCTGCACTAATTTTCTGACCCATCTTTACTTTTTTCTTTTGTTACTTATTCGGTCATTACTCCTCTTGACATCAGGTATTTTTCTAAAGAGAACGAAGCAGAGGTGTAGGGTCCTCATGTTGCTGGACCTTCCAATTGCGAAACCGCACGTCAACAAACCGTCGTCGTGCGTCCTCGTTTGTTCCGAAATTGATCCAGAATCCTGATGCTGAAAGAGGTTCAGAATTTTGGTGCTAAGTTCCTTACACTGATTGAGGGTCGTCTTAAATCGTTACTTGTTCAAAATAACACAAGAATAGACTATAATGTCTCAAAATTTCTTTGATCTGCTATCCCCGTTCGGCTTAAATTACTTTCCTGTTATAAAAAAGGCTACTGTGGACCATCGAATGAGCACAGGACAAGAGAGAAGAAAGCGTTGTGTATGGACGCGCAGCACAGATCGGCAAGGTTGGAATTCCCGTTCAAAAATAAGATCACAACATGAGACGTTGAACCCGGCCAGAAAGAACTTTTGTGAAAATTATAAGATAAGAGTAAAAGACGCTCTGTGATGAGTCACCCCTTAGACAACCTCGACTGGTGCGAAAAAGCTTATCTTTGGCTATTCAGGTGGATCCCATTGCTATTGAAGGGGCCTTCGTAGCGCCCCGCATACGTACTCAAAAAGCCCATTCGGAGAAGGCTCATCAATTCTCTGTGGTGGTTTCAAAAGAAGCGGAAAAAATGGGAGATTGGCTTGCCAGGTTGTCAAATAGACAATCAGGATTATAATGATGCTTTGGTCCCGCCATATACCTTTTTTCGAAAAACCAGCGTCACAAAACAATTGTTTTGCAGCACGTAGTACCCAGGTGACCTAACAAATTGCTGAAATTAGCTTTTTGGGAAAAGTTCACAAAACAGGTATCGGAAGCCTAGTCAGGACATGCCGAACAAAATGTTTGAGCTTATCAGAATCTTTGGTAGGCCTACCAATCTTTGACTCTAAAGATATCCCTGTTGTTCGAAAAGTGTCCACATACTTTTGATGCAGGGAAAACAGGGGGAAGTTTTTCCATTAATTAAAAAAATTTAAAGCTGCATGTAAAACGGTGAGAAATGAGGGAATCTAAGATTGCCGTGTCCGAGAAATCAAATGGTGGCAATCTCATGGTGAAGAAGTCAACAGTTTCTCAGAGAAGGAATAATTTTAGGGTGTCCACATACTTTCGGTACGCACTGTATAGTATGGCATGAAGCCTACAGGGGTTTTTACTCAAGCGTTACTCCAATCAGGTGTGTGATTGGAGTCGACTAAAACTATACGAAAGAGTAGAAATGATCCATTCACATAAATGTAACAGAGTGCGCAAAAATTATGTAGTAACATAAATTGGTCATAGAAAAACAATGTGACCCAGAAGTCGCAAACTAACAATACTGTCATAGTGGTAGAGAACTGTGAAACAGGAATCAATTTTGCACTCTGGGGTGGCCGTTTCCTGCGTCGATGAATAAACGCAGACTTCATAACAAGTCACCGACTCTGTTGTGTAGGTAGTTGTGTCGAGTAGGTCCAAGGCTTTCAAGAGCGACTGGTAAAATAGCCGATGCTCCTATAATGCTTGCCGCAATACTTTGCCGCCGGCGCACTCAATAAAGAGCATCCTATAGGGCTAGAGTTGGAAGAGCTATGTTGGCACTTCTTTACTACCAGCTTAGTTCTGCACGCATTTGCGTGCATCACATGGGACCGCATTGATAGGAAACAGGGCCACTGATACCTTTACAGTTCACCGATGAAAGCTCCGCAAATCCTTGACGCCCTCAAATAGCACTTGGCCCCATTCCTTCGCCAACCTTTATCCACTTTTCCCAGCCTCTGGGCTCTCTTTCAACCTCCGTGATATCACGTGACAAACACTGCTTGCTCCAACCCACGCTCCACCCACCCATAGCGGTTGACCTCCCTTCCGTTGACAAACTCAATCCACTTTTCCCGGTCTCCAGGACTTAGTGGAATCGAGTTAAAATTTTCGTCGCAAGCTCCGCCCACGTGCATGCCTAGTCCTCCGATAGCATTAAACCCCATTCCCTCCATTAATCTTATCCACCTTTTTCCCGGTCACCTAGCCCTCTTGAAACCGGGTTATGAGTGTGGTGGCAAACCCCGCCACTTCGGTGCATGCTTAGCCCACCAATAACATTCAACCCAACTCCCTCCGCCATCCTTATCCACATTTTCCCAT